CGCGGTATTCGAGACCGGCTCTTTATTGCAACCAAGGTGTGTTTTCACGTCCCACAGTCAACGATACTATGGCTGATCAGATGATAGTACTCGAGCAACTTCAAGATTCGCCAGGATGCGTATAAGCAACAGGTCCTTTACACAGGGAACAATAACAAATCTTTGCACCTTTCTGTAGAAGCCTCTCTTAAGAAGCTTCGAACGACTTACATTGATCTTCTCTACCTCCATTGGTGGGACCATGACACTAGCGTTGAAGAGGTCATGAGGTCCCTCCATAGTCTTGTCCTTCAACGCAAGGTTTTATATCTCGTGAGCACTATTAAACTTGTGTATATCTGATTTTCCCCTCGGAAATTTAGGGGGTTTCTGACACTCCTGCGTGGATCGTCTCGAAGGCGAACGAGTACGCCCGCTGCAACGGGCTTACTCCGTTCTCGGTTTATCAAGGCGCATGGAACGTGATGGAGCGCTCCTTCGAGCATGATATTATTCCTATGGCTCGAGTTGAAGGCAAGCCGACTATTGACGTGAAACATATACTTCTGGGGTCTCACTGTCGGAAAAACGCGATTTCCATTATAAGGCCTTGCGGCTCCTGGCACCCCTGGCCCCGCTGATACACTGGCGTGACGCTACCAATAATCAATTGTAAGGGCCTGCAAGTCGAGCGTCAGTGAGTATCAGAAATCCGTCACCTCTGGTAAGTCCTAGTCACACCCGATCACTTCACCTCCCAAAACCCGAGTTTCCGAAGAAGCCATTTGAAAGAGGTTGCACCCCACCCTCTCAGAATGTCAAAATTATCTTCAAATTGCATCTGTTTCATCTACAGTGAGTGTCCGTTTATTGTCCTCGTGAACGGACTTGAAATTTTCCGTCTAAGTCCCAGGTCACGGGAGCTTTCCCTAAGGCCGACGGAAGTAACCTCCGCGACCATGGCTGACCATGGATGACGGACGAGGACGAGGGGAAATCCTGTCATGCCTGCTTACACACCTCGGAGTCGAATTTGGATCCAGAATTATCGCCTCGAAGCGCCCACATCCCTCCGGCAGTTGGTTAGGCTTGTGAATTCCGAGTCGGAGATTAGTCTCGGGGCGATATCTAGGCGCCGAGGTCCAGGCGTTGAAGCTTGAAGGGTTATAAAAATGGGCTTTCGTCGTCTCATTCCAGCGCAGTTCCTTCCCGCTTACTTCGAGTTCGAGATTGGATGGACGTCGGTGCTACCCGGCTTCTGTCCCATGGTGCGTTCCCCCTCCGTTCACATATCACCTTTTAACTTCGACTTCACTTAACAGGGCATCTTATACTCGGTGCGTGCCTCGTACGTCTCTGTAGTTTAACACTGACTCACTACAAATAGGCTTTCTTCTTTTCTCTGAGGTGAGAAGCAGGTAGCAGGGGGGCCGGGCACTGACTCTGCTAACGTGTGTCTGTCTTCACATGCATTAGAAAGTTGCGACTGACTTTGACGGACAGGATGGTAGTTGGCTCACAAACGGTAAGGTTCTATTTAGTGCCACAATGAATTTAAGCTAACCTCGTTCAAGACCGCTGTACCTCGATTGGCTGTTTCCTCGAGCGCGAAACGTCGGCTTCTTTGTTTGTTGACGACGACGGAAATGTAAATTCCAAGGGGGCATGTAGTTCTCCTAGAGTAGAAAATGAAAATTATTTCTTATTCCCTTCTTTTGGATAAGGACAATAATCAGTACACCCGAATATGGGTTTTTGTGGCCAGTATTCGTAGGGTTTTCTAATGACACCTATTCGCCCTCATAACCCTGGAGAAGGCCTGAACAGCTGTACAGACGAGATCAGGCCAAATACGGTGTGTTAGGACCATAAGTTCTATAATACTTGTACACATTACAAAATTGGATGGGTGACTTTTCACCATCGATATGAACCCCGATTTTCTGACGCCCTAACAGGTCCTTATATGCTCATATATGGCTATATAGGCAAAATTTGATTTTTCCGACAACACTTTCCTCACTTTCCTGATAGGGATGGCCCTTGCGCCGTGGAGCGTCCTTGCGGGAGGCAAGATTAGGACCGGCGCGGAAGAAGAAAGGCGCCGTCAGACCGGTGAAAGCGGCCGCATTACTTTCGACCCTCATTGGGAACGGAACGAGCAGGAGAAGAAAATTTGTACAGCTCTTGAGAAGGTCGCGGCAGAGGTTGGCGCCAAGCACATCACCTCTGGTGGGCCATCTTTTCCGTCCATTTTCATCTTTTTGGGCGCTTATTCTCTCTCCTCGTTGACAGTGGCCATTGCTTATCTTATGCAGAAAACGACCTACGTCTTTCCGATCATCGGGGGACGGAAAGTCGAGCACCTCCTCGCCAATATCGAGGCGCTTTCGATTTCTCTCACTGACGACCAGGTTAAGTACCTTGAGAGCATTGTCGAGTCCGACTTGGGGTTCCCCCACTCTATGATAGTAAGTAGCCTTGTCCTTGGCTTCTTTGACCTCTTGTTGACCGTCGCCTTCCATTCTCTCCCCCTTAGGGCGATGGATCCGACGTCAATTTCTTCTTCAAGTTGGCTTCGCACATCGAGAAGAAACCCGTGGCAGCACCTCTTCGACCCTCTGCAACACAGTGAAGAACAATCACGAATCCAGGACCGTCGGTTCTGCAACAGTATTCATGATACATGTACTGCCGTTTGAACATAAGAGACTGGGAATATGAAGGAATTCTTTCAATGTGAAGTTCATCTACGTCAAGCTATCTTATCTTCCAACCCTGACTGACATCACTAATGTCCGATGACATTCTAACCGGCGCAGTCGGACGGCCTGAGGTTCACACTCAGATTGATCAAAATTGGCCAAGCCACTTACACCTCTGCGATTATCCAACAACGGCTGAAGTTCAAGGGCCAAGTGCAAAAGAAATCCATGCCGCTACAGCTTGCCTACTGCAGTTATTCTGATTAGGACAACACACAGACTGTCCTGCCACAGTAGGTCAGGCCAACTGCGCATTCTGGAAGTTTTCCACCACATGTTCTCTTGGTGTGTTGGGAATCACGTTATGAACACGAGGAAAGGTTTCTTCTCTGACGCCTCACCTCAAAAGGCCTGAACCTTTGACGTACGTGGGAGAACCGTGTTCTTGCTCTCTCTTGCTGTCATTACCCTTCGTGTCCCTCGTGCGGCTCGACGTCGACCTATTCCTTCGTAATCTTCGCTCAGCTTGTACTGTAAACTTGAATGGTCGCGCAAAATCCTCTCTTCCGTGGACGATGGACCTGGAAAAAGTTCGGGGCTACCGTGTTGGATGATATTTGGCCCGAGGTCATCGTCTTCACACTGTTTGCGACGAGTGCGTTCTATGTCAGCGGCTGAGGTCTCCACTGGACTGATCCTGCCTCAGTAATCGTTCTCGTATCTGAGAAAACTCGGGCCAATCTTGGCGTCTCGAATCAGCTGTTGACTGTCCTGGGTCTCGTTCTGGGCTTGGTGATATCGTTTAGGACTTCATCTGCCTACGAGAGGTAAATGTTATTCAATTAGACTGGTTAACAAACGAACGCGATCCTTTATAGGTACCAAGACGGACGGAAGATGTGGACGAACATTACAGTCGCGTCGAAGAACCTTGCGCAGATGGTAGGCGAAGCGCCCGTTCCGCAAACGTATTGCTGACCCTCGGACGCTCAAGATCTGGATACACGTTCCCGTTGACCGACCTGTACCAGCTGGTAGCACAGAAAAACCGATGACACCTCTCGAAGTAATGATAGAAAAGAAGACGATGGTGAATCTGGTAAGGTGGATATAAATACCCTCTTCGAAACGTATCTCATTCTGTAGGTCCAAGCGTATTCAGTCTCTGTGAAGCATCTACTTCGTGGAGAACAAGGCGTCTACTATGAGGATCTCTACCCTCTAATATCTTTCCTACCCCACTACGCAAACGAATCTTCTAGCAAACAGGACGATGGGGAGTTGCTCCCGCTCTGGCATCTACGAGACGAACATGATCACCTGCTTGATTCTATCGTCGTAGACGACGAGAAGAAGTCGAGCGGGCGGCACATGAGAACGCAAACAGAGAAGACGATGGTGGCCAGCTCGAGCAGTTCTGACACTGGTGTTCGTGGACCCGTGCCGGGAGGGCCCTACCACCGCCGCACACGTGTGGACACGTTCGACCCTGAGATGGTGCTCCCAGAGATCGGGAGCAACCAGCCTCTCAAACCAGCACGCAACCCACCAGATTTGACGATATATGACTACCTCCCCTTCCTCAGGCTGTTCAGGTGGTTATGGCGCGTCGTGACACTTCAAAAACATAATTCAGGCGAAACCAAGAAGAAGAGGAGAAAAGCTTACGCGGAGATAATGGAGAGCCATATTCCGTTAGAGATCACCTTGGTGCTATCTAACTATTCTGCGTGTGAGCTATATCCTTCCTGGCCCACATTCAATTCTACGGAGAATTAACGGTCGTGGTGTTTAGGGTTAATGAAGAAGGGCTTGCTGCAGCCTGCTATCGCAACAGCTATCACAAACACACTCTTGGTGTTTCAGGACTCTGTATCGAATCTGGAGCGAATCTGCAACACGCCTCTGCCATTCGCATACCAGGCGCACCTCCGCATGTCATTGTGGTGTGTTTAACTCTTGGTTTCCCCACAAAGGCCGGCACTGACTAAATTCTAAAAGGCTTTATCTCCTCCTGCTGCCAGTACGTTAATTGTTTTGCCCCGTAAATCACACTAACGTTCGTCTTCCTTCGCGCTTTCAGTTCCAGATCTACTTAGCGTACGGATACATCACGATCCCGGCCACGGCATTTGCCTCCTTCCTACTTCTGGGATTCCTGGAAATTGGACAGGAAATGTACGTTGCATAATTTTCTGAAATTGGCCAGGTTCTCATCTGCCCTGTTTCATCAGCGAAAATCCCTTTAATTACGACCTTAACGACCTAGATCTTGATTACTTCTGCCTTTCCATTCAGAGAGACCTTCATGAAATCACGGCGGTATGTCGAGGTTGCTACTGAATTCTTATACTCACAAGCTCACTTCACACCTTTGTAAAGCATACGACAACCGACCCGTCCGAATTCCTCTTCACTAAATGGTACGTGGCGCTTTCTCAATCATACTCCTGCCCTTGCGACTGATGGACTATAGGAACCAACCGCTAGCGCCATCCGATCGGAGAGATGCCGCTGAGCTGACGAAAGACAAGGACAAAGAATACCGTACCGTTGATGGAAGCGGGGAGCCCGGGATGGGCAGCCTCAGGAGGACCCTCGTTGTCGGATGGAAGGAAGTAGATTTGTTAACGAGGCAGCGGTGAACTCGAGGCCGAGGCACTTACGGGGCGCAGAATGGGGCCAAAACGACTGGCTATCCGGTTTCTTGAAGGAGAATTCGAAGATATGGCCACAGGAGCGGAAACGCTGCAGAGCGGTGGAATGCTATTATTTGTTGTCGAAGCTGTCTTCTATTCCTGCGATCACCATAATACATATTTGTAGCACTAGAGTTTTCACGCGTTCAGAAATCGGAGTACTGGCGAAGACGTGTATAGGCGCTGAGTAGCAACGGAATGTGAGCCATTCAATTGAGACGAAATTTGTCCGACCCGCGACTGAGGTGATCATGAGCAAGTGCGACACGATAGCAAAGCGCCATCCCCGAAATCTCCGTCGATACAGAGCATGACGAAGACAAAAGGAGTGATGAGGCCAAGCGCAGCATATCGACAAAGCGCTGGAAAAAGAAATGTTTTATTTCCGTTTTTGGGCAACGGTGCCACCCCACAAAGCGAGAGCAAAGCGGGGCCACAAAAATTGTGTCCAAGCACAAGGCTCGGAAGTCTATATGAATAGGCGATGAAAGGCGAGCAGGTAGACAAATAAAGACTCACGACCACCCGCAAGGCCTGCACAACCTCGAAACGACAACCCAGACCACCCAACGAAACGAACAGTAGCAGAACCGACAACGAATCAGCAAGAAGCGTAAAGCAGTACCACGCCAACGAACGCCAGCAGAATCCCCAACAACAGAAGGAAGACGATCATGCAGACTCGCAGTCAAGCGCGCAAGAGCCCTCCCGAGGTCGTTTCGTACGACGGGGAAGGGGCGTACACCCGGACCACCCCCTCCGCCACTGGTCAAGGAACCCACATTCGTTGGGAGTACCCCGACGAACCGTCTCCCCCCACCCGCACCACCAAGTCTGACAACACGGCGACTAGAGATGCCCAGTCCAACCGCCTTACGAGCCTCACGATCAACACCGACCGCGCGACGAGCGTCGAGTCTTTCAACTCGCTCTTCGATGGGCCTCTTTCGCCCATCTCAGAAGACAGCTCTTCAGCCTCTGGAGGCTCGTTCAGCTCGCTCTTTGATGGGTCCTTGTCATCCATTTCTTCTGAGGGCTCTGTCAAGGATTCAGAGCCACCTCGCACCCCGCCCCGTAACACTGCTGCTGTTCTCGCCGCTGACCCTGGTCCGATTCGCACCACTCGCAACAATACCCGTGCCAGTCCGCAGACCCCTCGACCCCTCCGGCGCACGAACGTTCAGCGCTGGCGCCGCGGTCCCACAGGCGAGCTCGCGCCGGTCTCGGAGACCGACATCGACGACCCTTTCGCGCACCCCGCCGCCAGCATCTTGGGCATCCCTAACAGCTCCAATGGGGCCAACTCGAACGCTATCCTCGACGCCGCTCTCAGGCAGCCCGGGTCCATCAATGTCGACGAGGTCTTCGAGAACCAGCTCGCACAGATGCAGCGCGTTCGAGAGGTGATGATGGAGGACATGATGGCGATCGACATGGCCTCGGACGATGAGCACGACATGGACATAGATTCGGTCCAGATGCACCCTGGTCAGCAGACGTTGGTGGCTCCGGTTGCCTCTAGCTCGGGTGCCAATCAGGTTGCCCCGAGGTTGGGCCCACGCGGAACGGAGCTCATAGAAGAGTCCAACCCAATCCCAGCTCCGCAGGCGAGTGCGGTCTACCCCCAACAGTGGGTTAGGAATCAGAGTAGCGGGCTGCGTTCCTTCCCTACTGAGAATTTGGAGAATTGATTCTTCGCCCTATGATGAGAGAGCGAGAGAGAAAGAAAGACGCGCCTTCTATGCCCTCTATGCCATCTATGCCAATATGCCAATATGCCCTATGCTGACCCTCTCCATGCCTGTTTTTCTTCCGTCCTCTCGTTTGCATCTAGAACTCCGCGAGTAATCCACCGTCTCTTGTGAACTTGAAATATAATGTTAGTAGTAGAAAGTGAGCCTACAATCACGAAGCGTCATAATACTTCACGCGAGAGAGAATTTGGACACGCTGAGCTTGGCGTTAATCGAACTTCCAGAACAGAGAGATAAGAGTCTGTTCGGATCGCATATCACAGATAGATATAGAAATATAATATCGCTTAGCTCGCGGCTTGATGGGCGGCGCCGCGACCCGAGCACAACGTCACATCGAGGTCACACAGCTATCCACCCGCGCCAACAGCTTGTCTACACGCCAACAACACTGTAAATGCATGGAATGTGCATTATCGACCGAGATCTGATGGATCCTCTGGCCTTTGTTACCCTTGCTGGAAATTTTCATCCTATAGTGAGGTGTGAAGCGCGTCATACAGTGTTGGCCGGTCGATGACTGATGGTCGAACGTTGACCGTTGACCACCTTGACGGTCAATTGACGGTCAACGACGGTCAATATTTGATGGACTTTCCCACTGCTTTGCCGAGGGTCGAAGCCTAATTTAGACAGCTCCCATCAGCGCATCAAACATCAAGTGCGCTATGCGTTCAGTTGCTCTTTGTTCAGACAGATTGCTCTTTCGTGCGTACAGAATAGATATAATCCTTTAATTTTACCCCGGTGTGATACAGGCTTGCTCTTTTGTGTGAACAGAATAAATATAGTCCTTTGATTTCACTCCGCAGTGTGACACAGGCCCCATTTCTGGTAGATGACAAGGTTCACAACCTCAAGGATCCTTCCTTCTCCAGGTCCTTTTTCACTCTTTATCTTTCTCAGAAGTATAATTATTTCAGTATTGACAGATTAGCATGTGGAAGCTCGTTGTAAATTACACACTATCTACATATTTTTATTTCAAACCGATAACTGAGAGGCTTAAAAAGCTGGGAGAATCACTGACACAGACCAGGCAGCTTCGTCTTTGCGTTTCGCCTCCTACTCCTGCATTTGTCTCTTTCTGCTATGTCGAGGCCATCTGCCACACGTAGTAATGCCTGACGGGGATGGTGGCGCGCCTACTTCATTGATTGTCCGTTGTCTCAGGCTGACCCAATTTTCCATTTGTTCGGCAAATCTGGCGCAAAATCGACAAAGTCCGGCAAACGAAATGCTATTGCAAAGCCTGCTATGAAGTTGAAATCAAGCAGTGCTGCCAGGCAGAAGCAGAACAACTTCGTCTGGGATTTGTTGCAGCAGCCTGTATGAAGGATGAGCTCGGCAAGCAAATATGTGAGTCGCTCGCTTGCCTCGCTATTTGATTTTGCTTCGAAGCATTGGCAAGACCGCTTCCACCGCCATGCAACTATTAACTACGACGAAGAACTTGCCCTTTACGAGTTTCTGGAGCTGGACGCAGATGGCGAGGAGGATCCTGAGCTTGATGGGGTCGCAGAGGAGGTTCTCGCAAACTAATTACATTCTTTATTGACGTATGTATCCTTGTACTCGCTATCTCTGTTCTTTGGAATGTCATGGTCAACGTTAGTGATGTCATCCCTTCTCGTTATGGCAATCGGTCGAACAATGGTCAAACATTTGACCGTCGCTGATGGCATTTTGACCGTCATTGACTTTGTTGACGGTTGCTTGACCGGCACACCACTGGTGTCATAGGAGCAGTGCACTGTCTCCATGGGATTGTAGGTACTTATTTGAACGCCCTTGTCGACCCATTCCCCGCCTCTGAAATTTAAACAGCACGCACGACATATGAAGCTGCCAGTATGAATGTTGTCTCCTTTCCTAAGACGTTGGATGAAACATGGTGGGGGCGCAATGGCATTCATTAGCATTGGACGTGACAGACTCCAATTAGGGGCGGTGGGCTTTGCCATCATGCCGTCCATCATGCCGAGAAGCTAAGCGATATTATATTTCTATATCTACAGTCATCCACCGGCCAATGAGACACCACCGGCTAATGATACACCTTGGAACACCATGAAGGACTCAACTGTTTGCTTTGAAAAAATAACCCCATTCTCTATAAGTCTTTCATACACTGTGTATAAAATTTTATGGGTTTTGGTGAAGTCAATGCCCAGTAATAAAATCACCAAAATATTCATTTTGGTTGATTTTGTCACACCAGTCACTGGTACAGCATCTCTGGCTGTTTCTGCTCACGTTTGGTTGATTTTATGGCATACAGCTGGTATAAATTTATTTTAATGGCTCTATTACACTGATTCCAAGTGGTTTTATGAGAATCCATGGGCTGGTTGAGTTCTGGGATCAAATTTAAATTTCAGTGTATCAAATGATGGTGGATGACTGTATCTGTGATATGCGATCCGAACAGACTCTAAGATAAGATAAGATGATGCTCAAACATTTATACAACCCATAACACATGGTTCTGTCTCAATTATCACTAGAAGGTTGAAGAGGGGAGGCTACAGGCTTCTTTTCGACATTCGCAAACATCCTGAACACCTTGGCATCGGTGCCATCACCCTTTTGGCGCCCAAATTAGTTCCGCATGACACCGTCGAATGAAAGGGCTCACAATTATTGAATGAGGGAAGCCGGGCTCAAAGTCGACGATGCTCTCTAAGAATTTTATCTGCTCATCACTCAAGGATATTTCGAGAGACTCGAGGTTGGCGAGGAGATGTTCGACCTTCCGACCACCGAGAATTGGGAAGACGTAGGTCGTTTTCTGCATCAAGTACGCGATGGCAACTAACGAAACTCATTGTTAGTAAATTTGACCATGAGCTTTTGGCAACAGCAGACCGGAATTGATATGCTTAGCACCGACCTCGGCTGCGACTTTCTCGAGAGCGGCGCAGACTTTCTTCTCTTGCTCGTTCCTCTCCCAGTTCGGGTCTAAAATCGTTCGTCCCTTCTCTCCAGTTTGGCGACGTCTTTCCTCCTCAGCGTCAGTTCTGATTTTACCAGCCGCGAGCACATTCCACGGGGCCAGCGCCATACCTGCCGCGAATACTTCAGAATCTGGGAGACAAATTATTTCATTCAGGAGAGTAACTCGCCTTCATCCCAGGCCATGGGAATTATATCGCGTTCGAACGCACGGTCCATGACGTTCCAAGCGCCTTGATAGACCACGAACGGCGTCAAGGCGTGATCTCGCGTGTACTGGTTAGCTTTCGAGACGACCCACGCGGGTGCATTGGAGACACCCAAATACAACACCTTCCCTTGGAGAACGAGAGCATGGAGTGACTTCATGAGTTCCTGCACGGTCGTAACATGGTCGTAGAAGTGAATGTAAAGCAAGTCAATGTACGTCGTTCGTAACTTCTTGAGCGATGCTTCGACCGAGATGTGCAGTGCCTTGGCGCTGTTGCCAGCGTAGAACACCTGCTGCTCGACATCTTCGCGCTTCCTGAAACTGCTCGCGTACTTGGTGGCGATGAAGAGCTGGTCGCGGATGCCGCGCTTTTCAGCCCATTCTTCTCCGGGCTCTCGTTCTGACTATTTATGATTGTTTCCTGTTCAGACCTGGCTGAGAGATGGTCATGAAAGGATACTCACTAGGAGTTCGCCGTGTCAATAAAATTTCCCCCGTTGTCATAGTACGCATCAAGAAGCTTGAAGCTGGACGCCTTGTCCATGTCCCCCATCCCAATTTGGCTCCATTGGTCGCTGATGTTCCCGCCTCCGAGCTGGAGGGGAGAGACGTGAACACCTGCGTTGGGCGACAAGAGGCGGTAGAGGCCGAGTTTGCTCTTGGGCTTGGGCAGTGGTTGAAAGAAAGCCATTTTGACGTTGCCTTGTACCTTTATTCTGAGGAGAAAAAGATCAACGATTCGTTCGATGGCACGGGGGATTGATTCTGGTTGGTATTTATACAGCGTCGACACTCGTGAGTCGGAGCGATATGGGCAATCCACTTTCGTGTTCTTCATTCACAGTAACACTGTAATAATGCCAGCCGCTGTAACTTCGGTTGCTTGCTCATCGTGAGGCCATTTATTCGTGTGTCTTGGTAAGCGAAATCACTGATTGTAGGGGTGGGTATGTAGTGTGAGAGACAGTCGCTCTCAAGTGCTGGATCGTGACAGTGGCTCATAGTAATCAACCGATGAGATATCAATCTCGAGGTAAGCGTCATTACTTAAGTGCACCTTCCTCATTCGACGAGAAAAACGAACCAGACCGACGAGAAGCCTGAACCAGAACTCGACAGGCTGGACAGAAATTTCCATCGATGGCACACCATGCTTAGGGTGAGTAATCAATAAACTAGAAGAAAACGGAGGAGGTAAACACTTACTCATCATTCTCGTTGGGCCTGGAAGTTGGTGTTGAAAAGATAGTCAAGAGAGCGCTGATGCGGTGGCAACTGAACATACTCTTTTTCCAATTTGTAACAAACGTTCAGCGTTCAGATTCGGCAAAACAAGAACTTGCATACCAAGTATAAGCGATTGTCTGTGTGAGTCATGTACTATGATGTAGCTGCGATAGTAGTGCATACCAAGGAAGGAAGACGTGACCGTTGCTGTTAATGACGCGTCAACGCGTCATGGCCCAAAGATAAGATAAGATTGGATCGAGATAAGATCAGACTACAGACGGAAGAGGAAAACATTTCCTTCATTGGACAAACCTGAGTTCAGACTTGCGATCATTTAGTGGTGGAAGCAAGGGTCGTAGGCGAGAACACTCTAGGTGGATTTGATGTGCTCGCTAGTAAGAGAGGTGTCGAGCGCCTGGATATTGGCGAGGAGATGCTCGACTTTTCCGGGTACGGTGACGGCCGTCCAAGGACGGCTGGAGGTCGGGTTTAAATGAGTGAGAACCGGCCGGGTATTCAGGAAAGGGATGTACCATCGGGTCGGGTCGGGAATAAACACGGCCGTGTACGGCCGTCCTCCAACCCGGTAACATAAGTAACCCTCGGCACCTAAATTTGCTGATTGGTCCCTCCGACTGTGTGGGCCTTTGGCATGGTGAGATGTTGGGTAGTAATCTTTTAAACCCAACTCATTCGGGCATTTTTTAGAGAGCCTTCGTAGCATGCCACGGCCAATGCATTCAAGCGCCCATCGAACAACTTCGGACTATTGGATTGGACCAGCGGGTGCACATAGCCGCATCCCGAATCACCTCCACTAGCCACGGAGACCCATCTCCTGCACACTTATCTCTCTATTTCATCTTGTATCTTCTTGACGCCCTCGTAAGTCGTCATAAATTCATCCCTCATACTTATATTTCGTCGTTTTCGTGGGCTTATGACATCGTCCAAAATATCAGCTTCTCTGGAGTTCTAACACATTAAGCGCTCGTCCCAGGTTCTGGCACGTTTCGCATCGCACCTCTCTTCTTCACTCACTCAAGCTACTCAAGTCTCGCACACCCAGGGAATGACGCACCTCGCAATTTGCGTCGCGCCGCTACTCTATCGGGATATGTAGGTGTTATATTTTATGCATATTTGTCTACCCATTATACACAGTTAACCTACCAATCACTAGGCATATCATTCGATACAGAGATGAGTAACAATTACTCTCGAACCCGGCTTTCCGTCGACGGGTTCCACCGGCCGACCAAGCACGGCTTGGACGGGCGCTGTGAATGGTTCAGCCGTCCCGGGTGAGGGAAGCCAGGAATGGTTCCGGTTCGGCTACCCGTGCCGTGCGTCGGCTGCCGTCTACCGTCGCACACGGGTTCGGTTGGCAGCCCTATTAGGGAAGATGTTGGGGGATTTCTGCATCGCATATGTTACAGCAACAAGATAATTCTGTGAGTGAATCTGCATACCAAATAAAGAGAGTAATGCGGGAAGGCAGCTGACTAGAAGTAATAGTGTGTTTCTCACCGACCTCAACCGCATTTTCTTCGCAGACCATCCTTTCCTGCTCGTTTCTCTCATCCGACGTTGATCCTGCCGTTCTCACCAGTCCGAGGACGTTTCTCCTCTTCTTCGTCGGTTACTGTCCTTCCAACTGCGAGGGTGTTCTATGCAGCGAGCGCGGTGGTCCTCTGAAATCTTGTGTGACCCAGAAGACTTCTCATGAGCACTGCGGCGGTTCGATAACACGAAATCCATGGCTATTGGGAAATCCTAGGCTCCAAGAGTGAAATCTATTCAATAAAATCTAAGTTATCCTTCTCCCTTATAATACATGTGGCTCGCGTGGCCTCACCAGACCCCACACTGGCAGTACAACGCTCAGAAGTTAGCAAGATGGGTCCGAGGGCCGTCACCGTCTCTTTCGCGCCGGACGAGGTTGGAACGAAGCGTCTAAGCTCGCTACATGGTGCATCCTCTCATTGGTGCCTTGTGCTCCCTGCATCGTATTTACAAAATATTCAGATTCGAGAATCAGGGGATCTTCAGTCAGGTAAGGCATCCTCGTGCCACCGCATGCGCAATAAATCGCCATCCAGAATCGTATTGTCCTAGGAGTTCCTTTTGTGGAAGTCCTGAGCCAGTACCATTTGGAGTCTTCACAAGCACACAGAGAAGTATAGACAAGAAGCAGCTTGATGTAATTGCACAGAATAAAACGTGAAGCGGATAGTCAAGGTAAAAGTGGACGTCAGACAATCGTGCCGCCCCTAAATCGTAGACTCGTCATCCCACCCTGATTAGGCCGCGCGTTGACCTTCTACTATCATGAGATCAGACACGACCTTTCGCAGTGAATCCGCTTTTCGGCCTCCCGATGCCAGGGCATGGGGAGGATTTCCCAGAAGCCCTCATATCATGATTCAAAAGCTAGATAGAATCTACGCTTCTTGGCCCTCCCATGGATCGCTGCAAGACGGCTTTTGGAAATCTTCAACCCACCGCTCGTCCCTGACTTAAGAGGGGGAGAGGGGGATAACACATGGCTAAGCCAATCTTTGAACTCAGACGTTCTATGAGAATGCTTATGCACCCTATCCCACCCAGCTAACCGGATTTTTCTCGTGAATATGAACGGCAAGAAGTTTCTGCGACAACGGTTTGGATGGAGCCCTTCAGACAGATGATTTATGCATCATTCAACTTGGAGTGTGTCGACAAATTCATGAATCCGTAAGGCCGAAAGCTTCTAAGTTCTGAGATGACGTCCGCTCTCTAGACTCGGAGCCTGGGCGGATTCGGAGGCGAGCTCGTACTTGTCACTCTGTGGATGCCGGACGGAGACCAATGGGACTGGCATTGTGGACTTGCTCTCCGAACAGATTCTTGGAGACCATGACAGCAACGATGACGAAGTGTTCCAACGACAGGATGTGCGATATCATAGCTCCCCCCGACTTGTACTGTTTCGGCAAGCTTTACCTGTGTCGATTTCTGAATAGCCATCTATTCCTCTCTATCAGCCTTTGGCCCAAAATGTAAAAGGCACGTTGATGAGCCAGCCCGCTGCCTAGCCTCGGAAAATCCCTTTTTTCGACTTTCGTCATCGCATTCTCGTCGTCCCCTCGATCCCCGACACCTTTCCCATTGAGCCATATGATTCCTCGACGCACCCGGAGACCCTCAGCCAGAACATCAGCAAGCCCCATGATCAGCCCACATGGTTCCAGTCGAAGCGAAGCCTCGACGCGCCACCCTTGCCATATCAAGACCATCAGCGCAGTCGTCCGTTGCGTCCCCTTGTCATTTGATTAATTTTTATCATTCTTATTTATTTCTGTGGAAGATTTTCTCTTATTCTTTATTCCTGCAGCCCGGTTCGGAGAAATACCTCACCGGTGCTCCTGTTTTTTGTAGATACAAAATGTCTGTACTTACTCTTTTCCCCCAATAACATACAGTTCCTCGTCTCATTTGCCTACTCGGGGCACTCATACCTCGCCCTCGTCTCTCGTACGCCTTCTCTCGTCGCTCTCAGCCTCGTTTCGACTCGCCATTTCGACCCACCGTTGCCCCGTCTTTCGATCTCGCCGCCATCGCCATTCTGATCCCACGCTTAGCGCCCACCGTCGTCCCCCGTTTGCTGGTCGCGCGTGCCCACTGGTTAGAGCCGCACAACCGGGAACCTGTCCTCGCACCTCAGAGCCACTCATTGCGGTGTTTTGGGTGTGTGTTAGTCATTCCTTATTCGCACGATCACCCCACCGTAGGCACATCAACGTATGATGGCTTCCCTGGCGCCGCGCTGTATGTTCTCTGCCGTTCTTCGCCGCCCATCATCCGGAAATGTTGATATTAGAATCGGAAATTCTTCGTTGACTTTCCTCCGCAGTCACAACGAGACTATCAAATCCACGTTCGACTAAGGCGCTCCTCGTCGCGGTGATTATCGCGAAGGTGAAGTCACCGATAGATGGACTCTTATGAAATGGGCATCATAGAATGTGTCAGAGAGTGCTCTCGATACTTACGCATCTTGAAAAGGGCGACTATACCAATCTCATCGCCTTTCACTCCCACTAGTCTGACCGCATTTATTGTAGGACATAAAGGAGAGCTTCATCTTCATCGAATATGGGAGTCTAACGGCTAAGCAATGCATACTTTAACTTGTAGCCGAGGCCGGGACCTTCTCGCTCTCCGAATTACCAGCGGGACAAAGGGATGACCCCATAGGGTTCTCCTAGATGTGTACGGCGAGTTTGAAGGTGATCACCTTTCCGAATCAGGCGCCTAATTAGATTCGCACCTTCGTCCTAGTTTGCTCTACCTTACTTCTAGATGGCCCGTTCGAACCTTGTTTTTCTTGCCCATGCACACAATGCTGCCAACTGGCGGCGCTCACATTCGTGAATAGGCAAAGAGGAAAGTCAGTTGATTCATCCCAAAACACATTTAAGATTTGAATTCAAGAAAAATAGAGACAGACGAAAGACAACCATCCCGACAAACACTCAAACAGCACACGTCCTGTACGGTGGCGTGCCCGTCTTCAAAACCAAGTCTTCTTCTGAGGTGAAGTCATAACAAATCTCACAACTCTAGACCCATCACGGATCTTCCAGCAGCTGCTGCCTGAGCGAGCGAAGGATGGAACGAGCGTGGATCGGGACCGCGCGAAAGGTTGAGGCCATGTCGGGGCGCACTCTGTTTCTTGTAGATGCTGTCGGGTAGCTGCTTCCCCATCCTTTTGAGAGAACAATCACAGTTTCAATGGAGACAACGCGATTCAGCCCAGCTCACCCTGAAAGAAGAAAAGACGGATAAGAAGTTCAACGCACCTGCAAAAATCGCAAGTACACGGCTTCGATCCCGTCCCATGGTGATCGCATCCCCATTTCATCCCGGCATCGGTGCCGCAACAAGTCCACCGGAACCCTTGCGGCCAGTACTTATAAAACTTCGCTTCATCTCCTCCGTATTCCTCTTCGAACTTCCGCTTGAGGTCGTCTGATTCCTCCGCAAAACATGCCCCCCACCCCAACCCTTCTCTAGGCGAGGGCCAGGTGATAAGTTCGAGTTTGCCTTCGTGCCGGCTCCCATCTTTGCATTTCCTGTAGCGATCGTACCAAGCAAGACCGATCTTTGCTCGACAGGAGCCCTTGTGCGCTTCCCAGTCTGCTTTTTGACATTGTTTTCCTATGAAAAGTGAAATGTTGTTTCGTAAGCAAAGGTGAAGGCGAAGGCGGGTACTTACCGCAGTAGAGCCGGTCCTGGCAGCGCGCGCAACGCTGAATCGGCTTTTCTGAGGTTTCCACTTTATTGCAGACGGAGCATTTGCGTGCAGAAGGCATTTTAATGTTACACAACGACGAAGACGTATGTGATGGAGATGATCAGATCGAGGGTTCCTATTTTCAGAAGTGAACATCAGTTTGTAACAAAAGCCCGTGCCTAACATGTAGAGGTTCCGTTCGCTGCAACTGCATTGTGCAAAACTGGTGGCCATGGGTTTGCAACAGTGGCCATGGCTTGTCCTTGATATTTGGTCTAGGACTCGCACTGCGGACAACGTGTAGGCGCCGCTATATAGTATCGCCTCCTGCAACAGGTGTCACGGTTATCCTTGGACTCTCCCAAATCTCTTGCGCGTCTTCACGAAGTACGATAACACCCAAATTCCAACACTCTCAATCGAGGACGCGATGGTAGGCACCGCTCTTCCTTGGTTGACACCAAGGCGTCTTAGTTTAAGCGGAACCAGTACTCCCAGGATTCTGCACGAGTTCGTGAGTTCACGTTCTCAATCGCCGCGGCTCGCATCGTGCGGATTTGACTGGCGACGGCGCAAGGCTGGACGGGCATCCGACTACAGCTCGGCGGAACCCTCCAGATGTGTGGTCTTTGTATCATGCAACCTGGGGTGCGCCAACAAATCCATGAATACGTAATGCTGAAAGCCTCTAAGTTCTGAGATGACTTTCGCCCAGAGGGCGGACTTGGAGGCGAGCTCGTACTTGTCAATCTGCGGATGCCGAACAGAGGACCAGCAGGACGGGGGTTGCGTTGCTCTCTGAGACGATTCACGGGGACGGTGACACTGACTGTAAAGCCTGTTCCGTCTGGATGCGCTATAGCTCCTCCGCAAGTGCCACTCCAGACTTGTACTGTTTCGGAAAGCTTTTCATGTTGCATATTCACGCTTTGCCCTATGAATCTTACCCTGCAAGACCACAGCGCCCTTGAGATGTGGTTCGAGGGCTGCAGAGCGACAGAAGTCAACGATTTGGAGCCTCGCAAAGGTGCTGAGAGTGTTAGGCCCCATCGTCCTGGGAGACGCGCGAGGAGGGACCGGAAATCGGAAGGAAGGGTAGGTAAGCGCCTTCTGCCGTTCGCTTCCGAAGTTTTGGGATTGCAGGGACTATCGGGGTTCCCTCTCAGAGCGAGGCGGGTGGGGCGAGCGAAGCCTTCTGCGTGTTCTGAACTCGGGAACCTAGTGGATAGACAGCCAGAAGAAGGGCACCCGCGAGGCGGTCCCGTCGGAGTTCTGGATTTATGGTAAAGGCGCTCGAGAGAAGACGACTGAATCTCGGCCAGAAGAAGGCATGCTGGAGCGAGCTCATGGACGGACCGTCAAAGAAAGGCGAGATAGCATTCCCGGCAAACGAAGGCTTGCTGAATGTCAATAAAGGACGGCAGCGCGGAGTTGAAGTCGATAAGTACGAGAATTAAGCGCTGCGTCGACCTCATGCACGGTGGATCGTGCTGGACTACCTGCGGACTTGATTTCTGGTCACCACGGAAGTTCAAGTCATCGTAGATGTACTTTACGTTCATGCAAGGTCTGATTGTCGGAAATACCAGAGGGTAGTCACGGAAAAGAGTGGTCCGTAGATGTTGGTTCGAAGGAGAAAGCGGCTTTTGCCGACCCTAAATCACGGAGTCACGCTGATTAGGGTCTGGGCGACCTCTTCTTTAACCTTCCACAATCAACGACGACCACTCCCGCTGAATCTCGCCCTTATCTTCGTCAGAAGAATGGGGGAGAGAATCTCCCTGAAATACTCATATCACAAGCTGGGTGGAATCTGCGTCACGTCCTCCTGACTGGCAGTGATCACCCTTCGGAACGTAAGTTCAGGGAGATGGAGAAGTGGGTCCTTTGAACCTGGGCTTTACGGGAATACTGACTACACTTAACCTAGCCAGATAAGTGGTTTTTCGTGAAAGATATCTCAGAATCCGATTGGACGTGGAGTGGACTTCGGTTTCGACAATGGGCAACAGCATCCCCCGATTTCACCGTCGAAGGTCAGGTCCAGGAGCTCAGCATCGGAAAGTAAACATTACATTAACCTCATTCTGCGCCGCCGCACTGGCGTCGGCATCACCGTTGTGTCATAACTTATCGTACGACCACCGTTGTTCCCACTTCCAAGATGTCTGCCTGTCTTTCCGCGAGACAGGTTTTCGTCTCCCACATCATTATGTCGTCGACACTGCGTTACACACCTTCGAATCGAAGCACCGTGCCATCTACCCAAAACTTGACAGCGTTTTTGCCCTCCGTTGTTCAAGCCTTATTCGGTATTATGCATTTGGGTTCTGGAGAGACTTGGACCCTGGTGCTCGGCGTTTACACTCTGTCAATATCCAGGGCCTCCTTATGCCCGAAGCTCACTGCTATTGGCGCTCTGTCGTGCTCCCAGGACAGGGATGAGCGCGTTGTGTCAGTCTCGGAACGTCGTCCCGTTGGACTAGTCTCATTGGATGGGCCTGCTCACCAATGACCAATCGTCTCTTCTTTTGCGTGCCCTGCAGAGTGCTTTACTCTACGGCAATATTGGTTCTCAAACTCCCCCGCGGAGGCTGATTCTGAGCCCCGTTCACCCTCGGCAGCAACACTGTTTTCCTCTTTCTATCCCCGCTGCTCACCTGTCCAACTTTCCGGAAACTACAAGCACGAAATTGGAAGTCTCCAAACCATAATTAACCCTGAGGGCCGCAGATCCTGAACAAAACTTTGCGCGACAAGGATGGAGCCCTCAGATGTATGTGTGCCATTTCAACGTGGAGCGGAACTCCTGGATTCGTAACGCTATGCATGCATCTTCTCATTAAGCTGCGAGCTACTGGGATGACACTAGCTCGACTCCGAACGTGAACGGAGGCGAGCTTCCCCTTACCAAGCCGTGTCGGACTTGGGTACTTGGGTTGTGGACCGACACCCGTTCCTTGCTGACCCTGGACGGAAGTGATTCTCTCTTCCGTCTGATTATCTGAATGAAATTTCTGCGGCTTGTACCTTGCCAGTTATTTTTTGTCTTCTTCTGACGGACGCCCAGAAAACTTAGGGTGACATCGCTTCGTCATCTCGGTTCTCGGATGGCACTCTCGTCCTCGTTATCAGCCCCAGCAGTTTACCATGTCGTTTTCTCATAATGTTCGGGCGTTGTTGTGGGCTCTCGACCCCTTAATTAAACGACCTCCTACTTGTGCGTCATTGCTTCGCCTCTTCGCCGCCCAATGCTGAGTGTGCGAATGGTACGTTTGACTACATATTCTTACTTTGACGGGCTCGTGATCGTCGTCTAAGTGTCAAACCCTCATTATCCGTTGCTGAATCGGCGTTCATCACGGTGATTGGGCCGCAGTACTCTTCGATTGCGGGGATTGTCAACGGAATGGCTATCATTCTTTAGCTGTTAGCAGCCTATGCCCTTCGAGAATGTCCGAATGACTTATACCATAAATTGCTGTTTAGCTTGTTGAGTGTGGTAACAAAATTGAGCCTAACAGAGATAATTATGGGTTATCTTTTTTTTTTTTTGCTACCTGGACTTGGGCGGACCCTCATATAAATTAACACGCTTTATGACATAACCCCCGCCAAATTCTGAAAATAAAAACTGGTACTGACTGCCTATCGGCCCAGTCTTTTCATCCCTTCATTTCCATCCTTCGATTTCATTCTGGGCATCAGGATACTTCTCAAGATATTTCTCAATTGGAGAGTGCAGTAAGGCAAATCGACCAAGACTGTTGATGTCACCGAATGTGGACGTGATTTCTCTGACATGCGCTTTCTTGATCAATGCGTTGGATTAAAGGTGGTTTGGAGGAATGAGCGGGGATGCCCCTTATCTTATCAGACTTATTTTGGCAGATGGGAAAATTCCGGTGATAGCCAGACTTGAAGAGTTTGTTGGCGACCAACCAATGGATGGCGGTCATTCACCAACCTTCCTTACCCCACCACCTCGTTACGCCGGTCGTTCATTCTCCAGGCCCTTTTACCCGACAACACGTCGGGTTTATACTTTAATATCCCTTCGAGGCCTGGAGTTCAAAGCAACAAATCACGATGGCTACAACACAAACAGCAGATGCACTGGAAGGGAGCATCCAGGCGTTGATACAATCCTTCGCTATGATTATCTTCTCAGAAATTGGAGACAAGACATTTCTAATCGCCGCTATCCTTGCTATGCGCCACCCCCGAATGACCGTCTTCCTAGGCGCCTTCGGGTCCCTCGTCGTCATGTCTATCCTATCCGCAGCAATGGGACACCTGCTACCCACCCTCATTCCTCGGAGTTGGACGCAATTCGCCGCGTCGGTCCTCTTTCTCGTATTTGGAATGAAGATGTTCGTGGAGGCTCGAGAGATGAAGGCTGGGAGTGACAAGATCCAGGAGGAGATGCGCGAGGCGGAGGAGGAGATTGAAGACGATGATGCTGTTCACGACGGAACGGGCCTGACTAGTGCAACGCCATACGGCCACGTAATTCCGCTGGAGGAGATGGAGGAGGGCGGCCGTGTTCGAAGCTCGAGTCCCAAGCCATCCCAACCCAAGACATCGTGGCGCGAAGGCGCAAGGAACTTCTGCAGTCTTTTCTTAGGCCCGGTGTTCGTGCAGGCGTTCGTCCTTACGTTCCTAGGCGAATGGGGTGACCGCAGTCAGATTGCTACTATCGCGCTGGGCGCGGCACATGTGAGCGTGTATTCAATCCGACCGGTCTGTTCACTGAACCTCGATCTCTTCTGCACATAGAACGTGTACCTTGTGACCCTCGGCACAGTCGTCGGACACTCATGTTGTACCGCACTCGCGGTCATTGGCGGCCGCTATGTATCTACCAAAATATCCGTCAAGCATGGTGCGTCCTTCCTGCCTCCTTTTATCCTGAACTTATGACTTGCTCTTCTGTTCTCGCCTCAATTCCTATTTTTATTGCACCGGACCACCGGACCACTCCCACTACCTGCTCCCGTTCTTGCCGATACCCCGGTTGCCCAATTTGCAGTCACCTTTGGCGGGTCTTTCCTCTTCCTCCTGTTCGGCGTCATCTACCTCTACGAGGCCTTCGCGATGTCCGCCGACGTGGGCATGTCGATACCAATCAGTCCGGAAACGGATAACATTGCGTAGGCGTAGTTTCAGACTGACCACCGCACTCTTCGATCCACAACAAGCAAACTGCACATAGGACTTATACTCGTATTTACCCTTCATAGTCTAGAGAGCTCGCTCGTAGAGCCGAGTGTTGTATTACTTAGTCCTTCGGATCCTCGAAGCGCCTTTCTTTTCTTCATCTGCACTATCCTCCAAATGGTAGTACGTTGCTTTCGGTGCAGAGAGATGGAATGCGAGGGAAGCGGGCGGTTAATATTAATCTTGCAAGACCGGTAACTGTGAGATTCCAATCCCATAATGGAACACTATTAAAAGCTAAAGCTAAGTCCCATTTATGCCCCATATACTGCTGCAAAGAAGGCTTTTGGAACCATTAATCATCGTTCTGAACCAATCATAACGAGAGCTTCCCTAGCAAAGAAACAAAGGGGCGACGAGCGTGAGGATATCTACCTGCATAGGAGCCTGGATTCCCAAGCCTAAATTGACAGGAGAGACAGATATTATGGCACTCGACCGAGGAGACTAAGCCCCCTCGATATGAAAGTCAAAAAGGATTTAATCTCTTGTGCCCAGCTTCCGCGATTTCGCAATTAATCGTAACAGGGACAGCGATTTCAGGAAGACGCTAAGTACACGGGCATGAGCATTAAAGTTAATCTGCGCTGAGAAGGCTTGGAATAGGAGGCCGGTGTCAGATAAGGTACTGACGAGTAACTAAGTGAGTGTGGCGCAGGTACCATCCCTGGAAAATGATGTTGATCGGCGACCCCTATGCCCTGGGAAGACCAATCAACAGTGAGGTCGGGCTAATAACTAGTCATTAATTATGAGATCATTTCTTGCAGTCTGGCCGAAATTTCGTCTATCTCCAATGCAAAGACGCTTCGTCGACCGCTGGTGTAACCTACGGGGACAAGCTCTTCGAACTCTCGCCAAATTTCGACAACGGTTCAGAAGATCGAGAGTAGTGCATCCTCCCTTTGTCTCTTTAATAGATCGAAATTGTACAGAGACATTAGTTCCACCAGTAAACCTTGAACTGGATTTCGAACCTCCATCCAGAGTTTCTCTTCCTAGGTGCTGATGTAACAAGGACGATGACACTAGGGGGCGTTCCGTTTATCGTGACGCAGTTCTCAACATCACACGAACTTCTTTTCTTCTGCAGTCCAAACTGAGTTCCCCACTTGCCTCCAACCGCATTCTAACATAATCTATCAAGGAGGGCATCAAAGCTCAAAATCTCAAGTTGATCGCGCAGTAAATCAGTCCCAAGGGATGTCGATGAAGATCAATGTGCTACGATCGATCAAATGAACTTTCATAACCACCATTGTAACACTCTTGATAGATTATCACAACGAAATCCACGGTTCACGAGTATATGGACACATTCCCCAATGAGGGCTAGCGCTCTACATTTTTCCTGAGCGCCGGCTTCGCGTGGGACCTGTCAGGCTATCAAACGTGTTTCGACGAGGTCCACGGGTTGCTACATGCCGGCCGCCCGTTCGATGGAGAGCATGCGCGCGTCGCGGGTGTTAACATTACGGAGTGAACCAACGCCGGTGGTAGATAGTCCCGTGCCCCGCACTATCCTCCTGTCGATCGCGTACTCCGCGTATGGGTACTCATATCCTTTATGCTTCATGCTCAAGAGCGACGGTCCCCCGAGACAGCCGATACGACGCCCATATTCTGAAATGTTATATAGCAATTTGCTAAGTGTTAGACGTAGAATCGCCAAAATATTTTAATTGATGTGTCCAATTGCGGACAGAGTTAGAGCGCTACAGGAAAACCCTTAAATGGCCACCGTTTTCGACCAACTGGAAAGCTGCTACAATCAGGAATCACGTTTGACTGACGCAGAACCCCCGACGCCCCGACGCCCTCCTGAGTCTGTATGACTTCGATAGACGCATCAATTGGCAGGCTGTCTCCATCTGTTGAAGCAAGCAAATTATGAGTAGACTGCCAATCATGCTCCGAGGGGCTACACATACCTGACGCAGACTTAAGCTTCCGAGCCTGATCAAATTCCTTTCTTTGGAAAGCGATATTAGGCGCCGATGCCACCAAGCGATGTCGGGCGTCAAGCTTGCTGGTCCTCAGCGGCGCACTATCACCAATCCGGGGCCTGACTGTGGCGCACCCCGCGCATCCCACTTCACCTCCTAGAGCCTATATCCGACCAAATCTCGTGGAATCAGTCCATCAGCTTTCCCGACTTCGAGAACCCCACCACGTCAAGAAGTCTATGCCAGCTTCCTTCTCAAGATCGAATCCCGCCCTGCACCACGTCCCGCCAAGTCGGGCCAAGTCTGGACCTCAATGGATGGATGGATGTGTTGCGTTCAGGAAGGCAGATCTTTCATGCAAGCGAGCGGCGCACCTCGAGGTTATTGGTACATATATGGGTGGAAAAGTCAAAACGTGGTGATATATTATTTACAGTAGAAGTTCTCATAATGCATAGCGCCGGTATCGGACCAAAATCTATGCATTAGTAGAATTATGCAAGACGAACAAGGTGTGATTTTTGTGATAAATATGACATCACTTCGGTTGAACCCAGCCGCTCAGCAGCGCTCAGCGTCGTTTGAACAGCGTTCGCAGACTTTGTGAGAATAAGGCGCCTTCAGGGCGTGTTTTGAAGTGCGTGACCATCACCTTTTGTGAAAGTTTGGGTGTTTGAATGTTTATCAATGTAGGCAGTCAACCAGTCGTAGTTTGTGAGATTGCACTTGCCCTCAGGTATGTTTTTATAGATTCTTGCCAACTTTTTGCTGAGCCACATGCAGCTTGTACGGTGCATGCTCGGTGCGAACCTTCCGTTTATGTTTGGTGAGCTCATTCTGGGGTTTACTGGCAGGTATGGGAAGACAAGTGTGGGGAGAAGTGACGGTGCGACAGCTGCCATCATGATTCACACCTATTTTTCGCTTATTTCAGGAATGTTCTAGCAAAAAATCTTGTAGATACCAGGAAAGATTAGATAAAGCGCCTTATGATAATGCATAATCGACCCAAAAGGGCTATGCATTATGCACTATGCAATTTTCCCGCTTCCCGAGTTGGTTTTGACCCAAAAGCGATGCATTATGACAATTATGCAACATGAGACCATGCATTATGAGAACTTCTACTGTACATAAGTGTCCACACAGTTTTCTGGAGGCTATCGCAACGGGGTCTGCTAAGTGCTGGGTGCCATACGCTGCACGACCGAGAGAGCAGCTGACCGTTAACCATCATTTCTAAAAATTATCTGATATCAACGGCAAGTACTTTTCCTTTCCCTACATACATAGCTTAAATCCAATCTCGCGAATAGGCAGCATAACTCATGTACAGCGCTAACCCCACTCTGATGCACGCGGTGTCGTACACGGTGCGATAAAACAGTACGCCAAAGTACACCAACTGCTTCCTGTCAAGAGCCTGCTCGCGCGCGGTTTGCGTGGTAAACACGCCCCGTACCTCATCGCATTGCACTTCAGGGCGTCAACGAGCTGAGGCTGTTGAGCACCACGGAACCGTGCCACCATAGGATACACCACCGCACCCGTGTTCCAAGTGCAGACTCGCAAGGCTGACGGCGGACGTCGATGTTGTGGGTACTCGGGAAAATCGAATATGGTTTCCTGGGAGTGAAGATCCTAAGTCTGTCGGTTTATCGACTTGAATTGTGAGGTTCGTTGGCCGTCCTGAATCAACCGCCTCAGGTTTTGGATTCGTTATTCAAAATTTCGGAGCGGTTGAGTGGCGTCATGCACTACGCGTTGCTACCACCGCCTTCCTCACCTTCCCTTCCTCTTCTTCTTGGGCTCCTTGCATTGTTTCGGATTCGATACACCGAGTATAGATGTTTGCTTATTGAACAGTAACGTATACTTAGCACGCTGTTCAACTTCCACTTCTCCAAAGATTCTGAACTCTTTGATTCAACAATTCTCCTTCTAGTTCTGGAGTGACGAGACGATGGCCGCCGATTACTACCTCTTATACCCTTTTTCTGATCGTCATCGCTGTGAAGCGGTACTTAGAAGAGTCGGTAACGCACTGGCGGCGGTTCGGTACGTCGGTTGGGAGGGACCCCGTCCGGATCAGGACCGTGGAACAGACTCGAGCTTCGAAGTCCTCGATCGATCATGACACTGAGGCTTCGGTAGCAAGGTCCCAAACCTTGTTTCTTGGCGAATAATGCCGCGGTATGTAAGATGTAAGGGTCCAGAATTTGAGGAATTTTCGAAGGGCTATCTGAACGTTGGCAAACGTGGAGGAGGAAGCCTGAAGGGAAGGCGCAAAGGTGAACAACTCCGACCGCCACCGACGAGGGAACTTAAAGGGTGAAATTTGATGCAGCTGATTCATAGACGCACTTCGGGGTGGGACTGGACAAGCAATGGGGGTGAGGGTGTAAGCGCAAATTCTTAACAAGGGATGGGGAACTATTTCCTCAGTGCCATTACCCACGGTTTAACGCAGACAAAATTCCAGGGTGCACACCTTCGAACATCCAGGAAAAACTTATTTCCCTTGCACAGAGCTCTCGGGGACACCGGCATCCTCTTCGTCCTATTTCGCCTCCCCATCGCCTTCTCGTCTTCCACTCCCAAGTTCCCAGGGATTCACTGGCAAAATATACCCGTCATCCACGAGTGTACGAGGCCCGTTCAGGCCTCCAACTTCACTGTGCGATTCTCGAGGGGTCATCCGGGCACCCAAGCAAAGCGCCAAGATTTAGAAGCGCGTCGTCGGCGTACAAGTCTCCAAGATTTGGGCTTCGTTGGAAGGCTCAAGAGAGAAATCAGATTCCAACACGATGGATCATCGCAAACGCCCGAAGCCCATGCGCACCCGTGTGACGACGGTGCCGCGGGCCGCGGGCCGTCTCCGCATCATTCGCAACGCATAGGTCGAGGCGATGCGCACTGCGGGGTCGTCGAGAGCGCGTACACGATCGAGGGGCGAGCGTTGGTATTAGAAGGCACATTGGATAAGGCGGT